GGGTTGGTTTCAAAATTCTATTTCATTAAATTATAAAACGTGCATTTCAACCAATCAATTATTTTTATTCCCAAACTCGATTGCTCATTCCAACATTTTGCAAAATCAATTTTAAAAGAAAACTAGTCCCTGTGGAGACGAACTTGGAATATTTCCAGATTATTACTTGTGACAGTGTGCACTTGCACTCGTCCCTCTTGCTAATAAGCGGAGGCGCAACACGACTCCACTTAACTCCGATCGGACTTCATTGAGCTCTGCACGTAGTCTCATTAACTCTTTGCCCATTTGCCGAGCAGTACTTAAGGAGCTAGGTCGTGTGGCGTTCCTTTTTCCTCCACTGCCTTGCATCAACGTTGGCCTCCCTCGTCCACGGGTCGGAGTGCGCACTGTATTCTGAGTGCGGCTGCTAGTGAATGATTGCTGAGACATTCCTTCATCCGCCATCACTTTACTGGTTGATTATAAAGCTTGTTGTTGATTCAAAGTTTGAAGAAACTTCAATTTTCCCACAGACAACGCTGATTGTTCTTACTGAAAAAATCAATAATCACAATAGATCCTCAAGAATACTTTAGGATTAGAACCTGCAAAAACAAGTTTGCACTCCGACGATCTAGTCAGTCTCTTTGCTAAAAATAATAGAAATGTATATCGTAATCAGTTTTTTTGCGTACCATCTCCATTTGTCTTATGGTGTTTATAAAGAAAGGAAAAAAATAACCGTTGAGGAGTTTGGCTCCCCATTTGAATAAAACGATTCCCACCCTGGGTTGAGTGGGAAAGCAGTTAGACTGTCATGACGTAAATAGTTGAGTAAACCGTTCAGCTAGTCACCCATCTCGGCTAAATGTTCAACTCAGTTATTATCCGACCTAGTACTTGGATGACTTCCTCTGGATACTTGTTGATATAGTGACGTGTCTTCGAGATTGGACGGTTAAACAACAACTTTGCCGTTAAATATATTTTTGGTCCCTTCTCATTTGAAAACACAACCAAAAGGGATTTACCATATTTGATTTTATATCTCCACCAATTAAATTTTAGTATTTAGTTAGATTTGAATTTTAATTATTTGTGAAATCGATTATTTTATACTTAGCAACATTAATTTTTGTTAACCAATTTGATTTGATTGCTATATTTCTCAAGGTAGGTGATCTCTCATTCTTTTAAGTTATACGTTTTACAACGACCAATTGATTTGATTAACAATGTTACTCAAAGGTGGACGCTCTCTCATTCTTCCAAGTTCTCTCCTACAACAATAGATTATGTCTCATCATTCCAAGCTCTTCCTTCTACAGCAATGAATTCTGACTAATAATATTTCTATACAATGGTACTTGAGACAAAAAAATGTTTACAACGATTTCAAAATCACTCATATGTTAATGAGTATTTTTAATTTAAAAAAAAAAACAAAAAGAAAAACAACCGGAAAAACAGGATGGTTAATTTTAGTTTTTTTCTCTTAATATAATAAATTAAAATAGATTTTTTGAAAACTAAAAATTAAAATGGTTACTTTTTAAAAATTTTTTAATCTAAAATAGATGTTTTAATAGTTCGAGACCAAAATTAAACAAACTTAGAATTTAAGAATCAAAAGGAAATTTAACTTATTTATATATTATACAATTCTTTTTTCATTTAGCTTAAACATAGATTTTTTTATACAAAAAATGGGAGGATTTGGTGATCTAATCTCGCTGAGCTAAGCTCATAATGGCAGCTTGAACAAAGTTGTTATGCGACCCATGTAGAAAAAGTACTGTTTTAGAATTGAAACTGTAGAGAAAATGATAATTCTATGTTTTTCTCATGAATGTAATGTACAAGACTACTTTAAATAGAGAACGAACACAGAGAGACTTAGGGCTTCTAACTAACTGAACTACAAAGAGATTTGGGGCATTTAACTAACTGAAACTATACCGGGAGATTTGGGCATTTAACTAACTAAAACTAACAAGCAGTTATGTATAATAACAAACCAAAATAACAAAATATACAATGAGTCTAATACTCCCCCTCAAGATGGATGATGGAAGTCCAGTAACCCATCTTGGACAATAAGGTAAGTAAGACAGCAGCAGAAATTGGCTTTGTAAAAACATCAGCTAATTGTGATCGATGCAGACCGAATGGGAGGCAAACGAAGAAAGCCATCTTGAACCCGATCACGAATGGGAGGCAAACATCAGCTCAATGTATTTTGTCCGCTCGTGAAATATGGGATTCGAGGCAGTATAAATGGCTGCAAGATTTTCACAAAAAAAAGACATGACGAGAAAATTTAACTTGCAGATCAGAAAGCATATTAGAAATCCAAATCAATTCGCAAGTAGCAGCTGCCATCGCTCTATATTCCACTTCTACTAATGAATGAGATATTGTGACTTGTTTCTTTGACTTCTAAGAAATCGAAGACGAACCCAAAAACACATAGAAGCCAGTAGTGGAGCATCGAGTGCCAAGGCAAGATCCCCAGTCAGCATCAACAAAAGCCTGAAGTCGAAAAGAATTAGATGTTGATAAAAAAAATACCCTGATCAAGTGAGCCTTTAAGATACCGAAGCAAAAAATGAGTAGCTTTCAGATGTGAAGTATAAGGCTTAGAAACAAATTGACTTAGGCGATTCAGAGCAAAAGTTATATCCGGTCTGGGTATAGTGAGATATAACAAACGACCGACTAAGCAACGATAAACTGTAGGATCATATGAGAGATTGTTGATGTACTTATTGAGAGAGAAATAAGAAAGTGGGGGAAGTAATAATTTCATTCATTAGTGCTCCATATAAATACATACTATGATACTAAAAATAAACATAACTATCTCCACATAATTAGCTACTCAACTAACCCATAAGAATAGGAACTTAGACTTGACTACAGCTAAAAAAGGAATGTCAACAACTTCCTAAAAACTAGGTCTTTGACCAAACCAATTCAAAACTAACATTCAAACTTTGTATTTGTAGCTTTGAGTTAACTAACAGAGATCACCATAAGAAGCATGAAGTTTGATAGATGAATCCACAGGAGCAGAAGTCGGCTTGCAACCGAGTGATCCAACCTCTTCCAACAAAGACAGTTTGTAATGTCGTTGAGACAAACATATACCCCGAGAAGTACGAGCGATTCCTAAGCCAAGGAAAAACTGAAGAGATCCAAGATACTTAAGCTTAAAACGATCACTGAGCAACGCCTTAATATCATCAAGATTAGCCCCAACAATGATTATGTCATCCACGTAGACTAATAAAGCAATAAGCAATAAAAGTTGAACCACTGCCTCTGACAAATAAGGAATAATCAGATTTTGATTGATGAAATCCTATAAGAAGCAAAGTAGAGGAGAACTTGGCAAACCATTGCCTAGAGGCTTGTTTAACCCGTATATAGACTTGTTAGGCGACAGACTAAACATTCCCCCTGTCGAATAGCCACAGTAGGAGGACGATAGCCTAAAGGTAAATCTATATATACTTCTTCAAACAAGTCCCCATGCGGAAAGGTGTTATTTACATCCAACAGTACCAATGGCCAAGCATTAGATACAACAAATGTTAAAAAGACCTTAATGGTGACCATTTTAGCAACAGAAGAAAAGGTTTAAACAAAATCTAACCTTCTGGTTGCGTATATCCCTTGGCAACCAAACGAGCCTTGTACCGCTCAATATTGTCATTTGAATGATACTTGATTTTGTAAACCTAACGACAACCAATAGTATGTTGGAAAGGCGGTAGTGAAACTACTGACTAAGTGTTATTCACTTCCATTGCTCAGAGTTCAGCAGCCATAGCCTCACACTATTGTGGGTGAACCACCGCCTCATGATAAAAGAGATGCTCATAAGCGGCGGAAACATTGAGAGCAAACAAGCGATGACTGAAAAACAGTCTAGAATAATCCACATGTTGCTACAAATGATGTTTAGTGAACACAGAAGTAGAAATAGAATGCTACAAAACTGCACAATGATAATCCCGTAAATAAGAGGGAGGCTTAGTAGTCCGAGTAGTCCTTCAAATACTAGCTTGCTGAACAATAGTAGTAAAAGTATCAGGTGCAGCCACACTAGTATTAGCAACAATAGATGGACTAGGAGCAAGGGGATCAACATCAACTGAACCAATAGCAGTATGAATATTATTGATGTCAATAGAATCCATAATAGCCATAGGAACAACAACAGAATCCATAGGCGCCGCAGGAGCATTATAAAAAACAACTGTGGTAGGAACCATAGAAGGAACAACATCCCCTTGAAAATCAAAAGCCCTGTGCAAGACCAACTCTGGAAACGGGCCAGACAACACACCAATTGAAGGTGAACGAAGGAAAGGAAAAGTTCCTTCACGAAAAACAACATCCCTTGAAACAAAGAACCAATTATGTTGAATATCATAGAGCTTGTAGCATTTCATTCTCGGAGGATAACCAATATAAACACAACTTGATAAGTACGAGGCTCAAACTGAGTACAATGTGCAGTAAACGTAGAGGCATAACAAGGAGAGCCAAAAACTCGAATGGTAGAATAATTATGGTCATGCTTGTAAAGACAAGAATAAGGGGACTTCCAAGCCAAAACAGGAGAAGGAGTCCTATTTATGAGGAAGACAGCAGTCAAAATGCATTCACCGCAGAAAGAAATGGGAATCCAAGATTGAAAATAAAGAGCTCTAGCCACATTAAGGATATGTTGGTGCTTCCTTTCTTCCACAGAGTTTTGTTCAGGCCTCCCGACACAAGAAAATTGATGAACAACTCCCTTGGACAAAAAAAAATCCTTAAAATGTAGTTCAGGGGTGTTGTCATACCGAAAATTCTTAATACTAACATTAAACTGAGTCTCCACATAGGTAAAAAAAATGAGGAACAACAGTGATAACGTCAGACTTATGTTTGAGAAGAAATATCCAAGTGTAACGAGTTCAATCATCCACAATAGTTAAAGAAAAAACAATATCCATTATGCATCGGATGGGTAAAGGGACCCAAACATCAGCATGTATAAGATCAAACGGCCTAGCATATATTGTTTTATTAGAATGAAAAGACAAACATTTCTGCTTGGCTAAAGGACAAACTGTACATGAATAAAAAAGAGAATATGAGCATGTAGCAAAAGACAAAACATCTTTAAAGGCATTTAAACAACTGTAAGCAAGATGTCCTAAACGATAATGCCAAGTATCAGCAGAAACAGTAAAGGATGAGAGACACACAATATGTGGTTGTGGTAATACACCAAAGAGAAACAAGTCATTCTTCAAGCTACCCTTGACAATCATCCCCGAAGTGAATTTGTCCTGAATAACACATGCCTCATTAGAAAATATGATTGAAATGTTGGGAATGTCCTGCAATAACACGCAAGGTTGAAATGAAAATCAGGTATATATAGGACACATTATGCAGAGTAATATCATCAGACAGCCGAATAGAACTAGAGAACTCGACCAAATTGAGACTTGTTAAGCAAAGTGACAGTGATAGGAGAAATACGATGAAAGGTAGCAAACATACTCCTCGAATGGCAAATGTGCACAGAAGCACCAGAATCTAAAATCCAAGATTCAGGGATACTTGCCATATGAAAGTCTTTGTATCAACGAGAGCCTTAGATGCACGTTGAGATTGCAGCAAAGTTAGCAAGTGTTGACACTGATGGACTACCAGAGGAAGACCTCGAGCTTGTCATCCATGGAGAAATTTGTGAAACATTTGGAGAAGAAACCGAATTAGCCCATTTATTCTGAGAATTAACAGAATTACATTGACCTTGCGACTTGTATCCGGGAGGCCATAGTGAGTGTAGACAGATCTAGGCTCGACTTAAAAGACACATGAGACTTAACAGCCTTGCCAGAAGCAGAGGAATTCTGGACAGTGAGAGCAAAGGACGACTGCACATTTGAAGAAGCATTAAGAGGTACAGACATGGTACCAATTGCACGCTGCTATTCTTCTTGATGTACAAGCGAAAACGCTTTGTTCACAAGAGGAGGAGGATCCATCAGCAATATTTGAGTATGAGTGGATGCATAGGACTCATTAAGTCCTATAAGAAAATTCTATCATATTCGAACTGAAGAAATTCAGATGCAGACTTAGCACCACCGCAAGTACACAAACAAGTTCATACTGGACGATACTGGTTCAACTCATCCCAAGTAGTCTTGAGTTTTGTAAAATAGAGAGTAATCGACTGTTGATCTTGATGAAGGTTGGCAACATCGCGCTTCAGTTGATATATTCGAGGCTCGTTGCTCTTTTGAAAACGCTCCTTGAGATCCTGCCATATATCTCGAGCGGATTTAGTAAAAAGAATGCTTGTCGAAATCTCCTTAGACACTGAATTTAGGATCCAAGCAATGATCACATGATTGTTGCGTATCCAAGCAGAAAGTAAATCGCCAGTAGGTTTAATTTGGTAATCGTATCGTCGATAAAACCTAGCTTATTTTTGACAGATAACGGAATCAACATAGATCTACTCGAAGAAGTATAATTATCCTCCGTCAGGACTTGAGTAACAGGATTTGCAACAGCAGCATTGTTAATCTGAGTAGACGAAGAAGGAAGATCGGGAGAATCAACTGGAGTAGAATGATCCATGGGAGCCAAGGGATCAACAGGTGTAGAACCAGTGGGATTCATGGCAGACGGAGAAAGAGAAACATGCCAAAAGGAGAATAAGACAAAGGGCGGAAAAAGAGAAAAAGAAAAAAGGTCAACGGAAGATGAAAGTTACATCTACTACCATTTTAGAATTCTCATGAATGTAATGTACAAGACTCCTCTTTAAATAGAGAACCGACAGACTTGGGGCTTCTAACTAACTGAACCTTTACAGAGAGATTTGGGCATTTAACTAACTGAAACTAACAATAACAAAATATACGATGAGTGTAATAATATCTTGTGTGCCGATGGCAAAATGTAATAAAGATATATAATTTTTATGTACTAAAAAAATATATATATTATTTTTAGATATCGAAAGAGAGATTGTAACAAACCATCCGATAAATAATGTTAAATGACATGATTTTGGAAATTAGAAACAATTATCTGAAATATTTGTCTAATATGAGAGAGATATAAAACTAATGTATTTATTTTTAATATATGTAAATGTTTCCTGAAAATTAAAAGAAAATAGCGATTAGGGCCTTTCTTGTATTTTGTTTTCTCTTTTTTAATAAAGAAAAAGATAATTGAATTTAGTAACCCTTCGTGGTTCTTTACCTTTTGCAAGCTAAGAAGGCTGATTTACATTTTTTTTTTATGATTGAATTTCTTTGTTTTCTTTTTTATCTCATTTTTTCAATGAAAAACTAAAATATGATATTTTTTCGATCATAATTTCAGGTAATAATTTTATTTATGTTTTGAATAAAATTAGAAACGAAATGGAGAAACAAGAAACTTAATTTCGTTGTTTCCACAATTTTTATACAATTTTTGGAATGTTTTTAATAAATGGGAAACAAAAAAACATAACTAGTTGTCAAATGCGTGTGTTTCTCAGTAAAACTACGAACAAGAAAATTTTTAACTTAGATTTAAAGTCACTTTTAATCTCGTCAACCTGAGGAGCTCAGCGTAACTCAATTGAGGTATACATAATTGTTCTAAAGGTTAGATGTTTGAATTCTCACATCAGCATTGTTGCACCCCAAAAAATAAAATCTCTTTTTAACTCCAAAATCTTTTATTTTAAATAATAAATAATAAAAGAACTTAGTCTACCAAATTAATTTATGTTTTTAGTTAGAAAGAATATTTTTCTTTATCGCTGTTTTAGAAACTTATTTACATGAATGCCTAAAATTCTTTAATTTTACCCTTGGTATGATTTTATTTTAATTTCGAATTTATCCATATTTATTACATTTACATTTATTATAGTTATTTGCTTTTTTTGAAATATAAAAGATTTAATTCCATAAATTAATATCATAATCTTTAATGATTGTGTCTACCATATTAATTTTCAATTCAAATCTCTTAATTCACTCATTCAACACCTTATTTAACTCATTCAAAAAGATTGATTTTTTTATTTACCAAAATTATTAATTAAAAAATATCCAAATATTAATTACTGTGGGCACGACATCTTCTCATCATCCTCATTTCTACTACTGGTACATTTCGTTCATTCATAGTTGTTCCTTCATTCATACCCTACTGGTACGGTTTTTCTTTATACCCATTATTTGGGTTTTAGTTTCTTATTTGATTGCTTTAATATTTCAACAAGTAAAGTTCGTTCATTCATATCCATATTGTTTGAATATTTCCACTACCGTTCACATTGTTTTATTGTGTTTTTGTTTTAACCAAATCAATTTTATGAGGTTTAGATGCTGATTAATTTTGCCAATGTCTTATTTCTTCTGTGTTTGAGGTCCAAATGTCTAATTATTATTTATTTTTTGGTGTTATTTATCCTTTAACAGAAGATAATTAACGGGAAGCACGTATTCATCGACGCCAATATTGAAAGGAGAAGAAAAACACAGTTTATCTATACATCGAAGTAAATATGAAAATATAATTTGCGGGATATTTTGCAGTATTCATAGTTACATGCCCGAAATAAATTCACAAAAAGAAAAGAGAGGGAAAAGCCGCGGATGTCCCGAAAAGTAGATTTGATGTTCCAAAAAAGTCAACTATTCGTCAAGCATGCCAATTCCAATATCTTGTCTTAGATAAGTAACAAATTATATTCAAACAATGAAGAACATGCAAGCAGAGAAAAGATACAAGACAGCATCACAAGGGGTTGGACACATTTAGCTAAAAGGCTTCTAGTTAGCAAGAACAATGTAATATCGAAACTGTGATTACTAGAGTTTTGGATTGGCTGGGAGGATAAAAACCAAATACCTTCTCCAGTGAGGGTGGTTTGTACGCTCAATTTCTAATTTTTTAAATTTTGGTTACAGGAGGAGTTTAAAGGATAGATTCACTGGTATATATAAAATGCCAAGATGTAAATCATTAATATATACAACAGATTCTTAGTTTTAAATCACCATGATCATATATCCATATATATAAAACTTGAGTTATAATATATATCCTACTCTAAACACTATACTATATATCCTCACATATACAATATTTTAAACAAACGAGATGAGAAATATATACTCGTATATGCCAACTAATCTTTGGTGGCAGCAATAGATCCAGAGAGCAAGAAATGAACCTCAAATATGTCTAAAATTGAAACCTAAATATAGCATAAACTAACCGAGAATAGGAACCGTCGGAGATGGAATGCTCTGCGACAAAGAAAATCGGAGCCGCCAGAGAGGAAGGGAGACAACGCCGAATGTCGGAGAAGATGAACGGAGGTTTTAGAGGAAGGAAGCCCGTCGGTCGGAGGAAGGAAAGAAAATCGAGGGAGAAGGAGGTTTAGAAAATTTAGGGGTTTTGAAATTTTTTAGTTTTGGAACGTGTAATTAGCACAATTTAAGAGATTTCCTCCCAATTTACAAATTCTATATTTTAATAATTATTTAATATTGGAATGAATTTTATGGATATATTAGCAATTTATGTTATGGGTATCATCTAATTAGGATGATTTCATGACAAAAATGTAAATTTTATACTTTTCCTTCCTTTTTCGTAATTATGATTCCTAAATAGACCGTACAAATTCCTAAACCTGAAAGAAGGTGTTCGGTTGGAAGTTTTGTTGGTTGGAAGTTTTGTTGGGTGGGAATTGACAAAGGCAAGCTAAACCCGTTTGGTACACAATTTTTAATATTTTGCTTGAGAATCAGGTATTCTTATACATCGATTATTACTCCTACGAGAGTCTTCCTTGCCTTTACATTTAGATGAGTTTGTCTATGGATTTTTTGTCACGCTCTTCTCCCTTTTCAATAAATTGTTTTTCTTTTAATCTACTTATTTACTTTATTCTATTAAAAATAATTAATTAAAATCAGTTACAATATTTAAATTAATTTTACAATTGATAAAATAATATTAAAATTTCTCTAATAATGTACTAAATTATTTTATTGTAATAAATTAATTTATTAAAGTATACACTTATTTTAAAAAAAAATGTAATAAATTGATGCAATTAAATGACAGATAAAAATTTATGCCCCTAAGTAAAAATTAAACCCTCTACTATATCTAAGTTTCCTTTGATATAAATTATGCTACTACTCATTGTAAGATTTAAAACCTTCTACTATATTTGAAAATACAGATTTATTGTCATATGTAATTGCCTCAAACAATTATGAATATGAAATTTAAATGATAATTGTCATAACGATTCTAAATCGATAAATCTTTGATCAACTGATCAACTTAAAATAATAGGAATAAATTATTAACCTTGATATTTATTAATAATAATCTCAATACATCATTAATTAATTAATTATTTTTTTTTTGAGGAAAACATCATTAACTAATCTATTGATTAATTATAGTCTTAATACATCACTCATTAACTTATGCCATGAATATAGCTTAGTTAAAGCATGTTGTTCAATTCTCTAGAGATAGAATGTTCAATCTCAAATCCCCCAAAAAAAAAAACCAAAAAGTATAAATGTATTTTGATTTTGTTACCTCCAAAATTATTTTTTAGCTGCCATTTCTATTGATTTCACGTAGATTATGCTGGAAAACCAGTACAATAAGATGATGTTGGGGAACCAGTAATAAATTCTTCGGTTCTGAGAAATTAATGTTAGTTTCTTAAATGAATAATAATATATGATAACTCAAAATATTTACAATAGACAATTGATAATACTTCCTGACTCGTCGACGTAAATCTTCTAACTACTTCACAACTATTTATTTTTTGAAAAAAGAAAAAAATGTTCTCTCCTTCCCTTTCTACTATCCTATCTCCCACTTGTCAAAAACATAATGGTGGTCAAAGCTCACATCAACAAAGGGCTACAAATGACTTTGTCGGACGAGAAAATCAAGATAAATTACATACCTAACGTTTATTATGAACATAGCTCAATAGTTAAGGCATCAATAGTAATAATCTAGAGGCTGGAAATTTGAATCCTAACCCCTAGGTTTGTAATCCTATACTATAAAAAGAAAAAGGAAAATAAAAAAAGAGCACGCAAAATAAATATAAGATTAGCCATAACTAACTATTGACAGCAAAAACGAGCTCAAAATCCTGAAGGGCTGAGTATGAATTGCCACGATACTAGATATCGATATCAATCATATTCGTCATAGCCATAATCATGATCATAGTTGTATGTCTCTTCTTCCATATTCTCGTAATAGAGACCAGAACCATATGTTCCATCACCATCATAATCATCTTCCTGCTCTAAGTCACCATGTCTGTGCTTCTCCTTGGATTCAAACTCTTTTTCTGCTGTATTTGGAGTCTCGTCGGTATTTTTCGAGAGTTCTTCACGTTTCTTTTTAGTCAAAGGCTCCGTAGCAGCCTGCAATGTCCATGAATACACACAAATGTTTTGAATGAAAACAGAGATGGAAATAATTCTTAAACATCAGATAACAAATATATATATACATTTTTTTTTTATATCCGTGAGTGTCAGGGCCAGCTTACGCGCATCTCAACTAATCGCACGGGACAACCGTCTGACCCTATAACATTTGGTGTCGAGAAACACAGGAATTACTAATTCCTAAGATAGGTGGCCATCATGGGATAACAAATATATTTTAATAGAGAAGAAAGGAAATTCTGTTTGCATAAAATGATACCATTCTCTTTTACAGATGATAAACCTATGATTGAAAATTTGATTTGTTTAGTATATTTTTCCTAAAAATTTCAGGGTTGAAGATTAGCAACGCGACTAAATTTTCCTTCCAATGTTTTATCTAGAGCTGCACTTTATGAGGTAATAGACAAAAGGATAATTAGTGGTACCTATAATTCGAAACATTTTGAAGAAGATTGATAGATGCAAAACTCTCATATTTCATGGTTAGTAGAGCCTATAGTAAACATAGGTTTGGATGGCATTCGGGTTCTCAGAGGGTGGTAGAAGTACAAGTCCATGGGAGTATGAGAAGACACTTGAATCTTTCATGGATGATAGGCAATTGTACCAAAAATAAAACTGTTCCAACTTTGTGGCACAAGTTTGGAGAGACTGTCACGTGCATTTGGTTTTAAAGGAATCAAAAACTTCTTTGAAGACAAAGTTTCGGAGTAATATGAGAGACTGAATTTAGCTAAATGTAAAGCATCTCCCAACTGTTTGTCATCTTCTTCGTTTTGTAATTATTCCCTCCGGGATAATTTCCTAATATGGGGGGAATTAGTTAGACTCCTTATACCGGGTTTAGATACTCTTTTATAGTAACTACTAACTTCCCAGCCATCAATAAAAAGTTTGGTTTCCTTTACAGAAAGAATACTCTTCAAGTATTGTCTATAATGTTTTCTTGGAGGAAGCTTGGTCAATCGTCTGTTTTCTAACCTAAGTTTCAGATATACCTCAGCTGCTAACAAATTTTCGATGCATTTTCAAGTCCTATCTCGCTGACACTATGAATATAGAAGTGAAAATTTCTCTTATGCAAAATCATGTAGTCAAAGTAATAGGAATTCTACTAAGATAAAATTATAAATATTATTAAGGTATTAAGGATATTACCTTCATCCTTTCTCCCTCACATATTTATAATAGATCCCCTAACAACCTCCCTAACTAATTACTAATATATCCTTAATACCTTAATAATATTATAAATATGTGAGGGAGAAAGGATGAAGGTAGGCAGTTGTTTACTATGATTTAGGCTTTAATGATCTCGAGTGAGGAGGGTCCAAGTACCTCGAATTATTTGGAGATTATTATAATTTCCCAATATCCATAATTCTTCCCATGCAAAAAAATTGGGAGGTATTTTTACGCTTTGTTAATTCTTATTACAATTTTTTAAATTTTAATTTAATATTAAGAAAGATGAAAGAGATATAAGGGTCAGGGGCATAAAAAAATCAACCACACAAAAGGAGTCCTAAACCTAACCGTGCAGGTAAAGACTTCAATCCAAAAGAATAAAGCACAACTGATAATTACAAAATGGCTAAGAGACGGAAGTCCAAAGGGAAGAGTTGAACCTAACCACATCCCATACCTCTTCCAAGACCCCTCGACCCTCTGAAAATTCTAACATTTCTCTCAAGCCAAAGACCCCATAAAATAGGAAAAAACACACGATGGCACATGTAATAGATGGAACTGTGATTGAGAAAACCCCATGTTTGCAGTTTTTTTTATACTTTTTTATACTTAGATAAAACCTTGTTCATATTTTTCATTCAGGAAGAAAACAGTATTAAGTGACAAAATATACATATGGAATGAATATAAAGGTGCAACGGAGACGTACAGATTCGTCAAAAAGTTTATCCAGCACATCATAGTTGATTTTCGAGCTGAGTCTCTGCACAGAAACAGGCAAAGTAAACACCAATTTCAATCACCACAATGAATTAAACAGAGTACTATGATCAATACTAGACGTTAACAACTTAAAATAGGCTAACATAATAAAATATATGTACAGGTGCAGAATAAACAATCAATTAATCTAGAGATTAACTAGCAGAATAGCTTTAGAATATGGTGCATATGCCATAATATAAAACATCCAAAACTAAATGATAAGACAAACAAACTTCAAAACAAACAATATTAGACACATAAAAGTGCTGATAACAATCGGCTAAATATAGAGATTGATTAGTACAATAATTTTATAATAAGGCATAAAATTTGAAGTTGATGCATGGCAAGGAGTGAGGATACAGCAACCAAAACAAAGTCTGTCAATGTTCTGATCAGCTTTATTTAGGACTAAAAACTTAAAAATGAATCTCATAGTTTCAAGTAGTACCTTCTTATTTAACATTTGTCGAGTGGCTTCTGCAGCTGTTTGAGCAGGAGAAGCATTTTTAGCTTCTGCAGCTCTTTTCCGTTGTCTTTCCTGCAAATAAGAATCATGAATTGAAAATAAAATTTCTGGAAGGTTAATTTACACAAGAATTTTGGCCGACTGTATGGATGTAAATGTGATGGTCAAAACATCTCTTTAACACCAATAAGGACTCAAAGATATATTAAGACAACTGAGCTTACAAAATTACATATTTAGCAATTATGTTGCTTTAGGTGCTTTCTGTTAGTATTATTTTGATAAGAAACACTGCAATTGGACACATAAGATTTAAAAGAAAGAAAACAGGACAACTTGTCCAGCCCAAGGACAAAATGACGAAAAATATAGACTTGTAAAAGAGAAGGCTAGCTGTCTTTCCAAGGTCAGAGAGACAAAGGAGATCAAACAAACACCACCCGATGAGACTTCTATTTGCAAAAATTCTCCAGTGATAACTGATAACCGCAATTAGATATATATTATCAGTAAGAAAGGTATATTTTATAAATAATTAAATCACATGAGCTGAGTATAAATAATAAATTTTAAAATATAAGGAGCGAACTTGCCATGCATCAAACTAAGAGTTGTCTAAGTGAAAACAACCCTTTATTCCTAGAATCATTAAGAAAAAAGGAGGGGAAGAGAGACTTGCAAAAGAAACATCCCCCAATGCTTGAGCTTCTTCACTCATGAGTCTACTGTAGTTTGATCTAACATTCAATTTCTGTTCTTCTCAGTATGGACGTTTGGAACTTATTAAGCTAATCCTTGCTCACAATAAAGATCGGTTAAACCAAATATTATTCATATAAAAAAAAAAGAAAAACTGATTAATTGATTAAAAAAATAAAATTATTTTAAAACACACTACACATTACGAAATAGAAAAAGATAATACTAAAAAAGTATGAGCCAGACTGAAAATCAAAGTTCATAAAATGCTCGGTCTAAATTCTTGAAAAGTTAGCTTTACGGGACTATCTGTCTCTCCTGCTGGAAACTTGGAGAGAAATCAGTGCTCTTCAACAGATTTTTTTTTTTTAACAAGAAAAGAACTTTTCATTGATTAATGAAAAGGAACAGAAAATTATACAAACTCCTCTCTCGAAGGAGTGAAAGAAAAAGCGAAGCGAAAAGAGCTTTCCACTGCCTGAGGATGACAAGGAGACTATGTCTCTACTTTGCCTAGATGATTGAGCTTTACACTAGCGAGCAATATTTACATGGTTATTACAATTAGGGTGAAAGACTTTGGCTGCCAAAGCTGAGAACTAGCCATGAAATGTCAATGGCATGTACGGAAAAAATGCCAATGTCTAACGTTGTAGAAATCTAAATTGTCTCTAATCTTCCCCAGTATAAACAAGAAAACCTCTTCATCAAATGAAAAAAAGAAAAGAGAGAAAGAGAGAAAGAAAATGAAATCTCAGCAAGAATCAAGCAACAGTAGACACATTCCACTTCCATGCTTCATGACATTCAGACATGGTTAAAGTTGTTTCGCACACTTCAGAGACCATGTTTGATTGGGATGGAGAAACAAGAATGACAGGGGCGTAGAAGGGGAAAGGGAGAGAATGAAAGAATCTAATAACTCATCATTAGAGAGAAATCAAGGATCTATAATTCATGAAAAAACAAAGATTTTTTATTTTTCTTTTATAAGAAACCGAACTTTTCATCGAGACAAATGAAACAAAAGCACATATACAAAGACATTTTTTTTGTAAGATATCAAGTCCATAGATAATAAAAAAAGTAATGTTTACATTTCTTTTAAGTGTGTGTATGTATGTGTGTGCATAAATGTATATTCAACAGAAAACAATTATATTAACAACAATAAATTACAAGAGAAATAGGATGCAATTTCCTCTGCTGTATAAAGAATAAAATCTATCCAGAGTACAAAGATGCATAAGTGAATGGCAAAAGTGAGCAAAAAGAAGGTCTCGACGAAAACCTTTCTAGATTTTGCTACAGCGGCTGCGGCAGCATCTGCAAGTTCCTTTGCTGCCTGCAAATCTGCGTTACAATTTTCAAAACTTGCCTCATAAGCATTTTTTGCAGCAGCTATTGCTGCCTCCTTAGCTGCTTGTTCCTATGCAAGTATAACAGAGTTGAGTTATCAACAATTGCAATAATTATAGCACCGCAAGGCATAAAGTTACTCCATAAACGTTGCTGTATATGAGAAAATTTTCTATGATTATATTAGTGGATAAGAAGAGTTTGTCTAGGAAAAGCAATTGGCGGAAATGAACTTTGGATGATTCAGGGGATTTTACTGTAAAGTCATTTGGCAAATGTGGTGAGGGACAGTTGGTGTCAAAAGATTTAGTAAATTCCCAATGGAAATCTAAAACTTCGAGAAAGATAAATACTCTTTTATGGGTTGTGCTTAATGGAAATTCAAATACGGTTAAAAGGAAAGCGTCCTTTTATGTGTTTGAGACCCAATGTGTGCATCTTATGTGTAAAAGCTGGAGAAGATGTGAATCACATGTTCTTCACAAAAATAATGTGTGCTCTTTTTAAAAATTTTGGCTTTTCTTAGGTTTTTTTAATTGTTGAGTTGTAAACAATTTGAAATCATTATTAGAAGTGGTTTAAAACACTATGCCAAGGTGATCAATTAAAACTTTTCTCAATGTCATGGTGCGATCTTTTCAAAGGTTTTTGAGAGTTTTTAACCTCTAGATATTCACTTGGTTTGGGATCTCTTATTTACAATCTAAAGTAACTTTCAACAAGTAGGTCTTGAGGGCCCTTTAGTTTGAGTTATTGGTTTTATAGTGGTTTTTCTTTTTTTGGTGTTTTTGAAAATAACAGATATTATTCCCTTGATCTTTGATTGGTAATTAGTGCAGAAATTGTATGTAGAAAAAGAGAAGAAATCTTGTCCAGATGCCTAGTCCTGTGAGTTGGAAGAATGAAATATTTGATGCAGAAAGGCAGTGTAATTAGGTCAGAGAAGCAGAAGGTAGCTGGTGGTTGAAAATATAAAAAGGAAAAAAAAATGAAAAATGAAAAAAGAGAAAAATGAGATGAAAAAGAGGAATGTGGGAAAATAAAAAAGAGGAATATAAAACACACACACACACAGAGGACAGAAGATAGTAGCAGCAAGTAAAAAACGGAAGAAGTGAGTAGTAGCAAGTAAAAGTTTAAATGGAAGAATAAAGGAAAAAGAGGGGGGGAAATGTAGAGAGGAAAAAAGGGGAAAAAAGAGAGAAGAAAAGGAAAGAAGAAATGTATGAATGAAAAAAGAGAGGAAAAATACAGACAAAGAAAGAGTGAAGATAGACAAAAAAAGAAAAAGAAGAGTAGGGAATATTTTTCACTAATGCAGGGATGTTTCCAAGTATCTCTTGTTTATCTTTTATGTTTCATTTTGGAGTTTGAGTTTCTAGGGAGAATTATCAAGCTGTCTTCAAAGGAGGGTTTTAGTGGATTAAGTTTTTATTTTAGAATGTTTTTTGTACTTGCATCATGTTTGGTTGTTTATTTCGTTAGTAGAAGTCTAGTATTGTTGGGGAAAAAAATTAGAATGGAACAAGGGGGAAAAAAGAAAATAAAAGAAGAGAAGTTGATACAGAAAGAAGAAAAAGAAGAAAGTTAAGGAAAAGATAAGAGGAAAAAAAGGGACAAAGATTAAAGAAAGAAAAGTGAGAAAGACAGAAAAAGAAGAAGTTTTTATGAGGGTGGAAAATAGAATGGAAATATGTACCTCAAGATACTCCCGGTTCATCTCTTCCCAAATTATCTTTTTGTAATGCTTCTCCTCCTCATTGTGAAGATAGCCATCAACCTATGCAACATCTTGACATCTCAGTGGTTATACATCAAGTCTATAAATGAAGACAAAGCACTGGAAAAATTAAGATATATGATCGATCAATCATTTAATGAAGCATACTTCCAAGTAGAAAAACCCTTCTCTTCCCCTTGTTTCTTCACTAAACAATTACGTGCAATCAGACAAGCCTTTCAATTGCCCTTAATTTACTTTTTCTTAACACAAAATAGGTAGGTGTCTGCTTTCCAAGTGGATTTGGAGAGATGTATCACTGAGGAAAAAGCTCTTGGAGAAGCGTTATTTTTTCTAAATATGAATCAGACAAATGGGGTTCTTGCCAACCCAATAAGGCATCCCGATACAAAGGCCCTTGAATTTCCCTTATGAAATTTGTTGACCAAGTTCAATTTTTTTTTTTTTGATAACTGAGAGTCGGAGCTTTGCTCCCCTATACCCAAGGGCACCCACGCCCACTCCAAGGCCCGTACCAAAATAGATTACATTTTTTAAAAATGAGAAACGAAGCTTTCATTGATAAACATGAAAGAAAATACAAGGAAATACAAAACATCAGCCCCTTAAAAGGAGTCCAATCGAAAAGAATAAAAACTAACTAGTAATTACAAAACGGTTTAGTAATCGCAACTCACAAAGAGATATTAAACCTAACAATCTCCCACAGCTCTTCTCAAGGCCTCTCCAACCCTCTAAAAATTATACCATTCCTCTCAAGCTATAAACCCCACAAAACAGAAAAAAACAAAAAAACAAAATAAAACAAAACAACAAAACAAAAAACGAAAAAAAAGGGACAAGCCTACCAAAGAACTCTATCACGAAAGGGAATAAAATAGGGAACCTCCTCCATCATAGAATAATAGTTTCTATTTATGAGCCCATAAGATCCCAAAAGCCAAAGCAAAAAGGAGCCCTCAAAGAGTATGATCAAGGTCCTCCAACATGTTTGCAGAGGTTGCACTACCGTTGGCCCAATAAGGCCTCTGAATACGATCTAAGGTGTTAGCTTTCCTATGCAAAACCTACTATACAAATAATTTATTCTTTGGGTTCTTAACCTTCTAAAGAGAGGAGAAATAACGGACATCAAGAGGGGACGAAGGGGAACATTGAAACAGAGAGCTACAAAAAAAGCCCCCAGTGGGGTTGGGGGCTAGAAACGAGCATCCCTCCTCCCCTAACCTCTCTGTACATTACCCAAAAGAGAAAGAAGAGCAAACACTTTCACTGTCTCCTTATCCAATAAAAGATTGAGGAAGACATAACAGATGCCATAAAATGCAACCTCTTATTAGAAATATGATACAAACTAGGGAACAAAGCATAAAGATGCTTGTTACCCAATCAGATTCATCTACAATAGAGCATTTTACAAATTGAAAGAAAAAGAGGAAACTTGAAGAAATAGTATTCCACGGGGTTTTTGAGTACCTTTAGACCCACAAGCAAAGACCCATTCAAAGGGCTGCAGATCATATTTACTCACAATGGTCTTATTACGGAGCCTTAAGCTACCTATGCCCAAACCCCCTAGGCTATAGGACATGAAATGGTATCCCAATAAACCAAAGCGGCTTAGAGAACGAAGAAGACAAACAGAGAAACACGGTGGCAAATAGATTAAACAATGTTCTTGGATGAGTTAGTTGATGAATATCTTAGCAAAAATTTGAAAGGCTCCATCCCCGGGATAGATTTGGAGAGAGCCCATGATAAAGTAGATTAGTGTGATGAGAACCAAGACCATGAGTGTGTTACACTTGCACAGGGAGAATAGCAGGCAATACAGGGTACTAGGGAAACAGAGTGAAAGAGGGTAGTACGAGTGCGAATGTGCAGTAGTTCCACCTTTCAAGCAATACAGGGGACAAGAGAGGCAAGTTGATGATTCCTAAGATAAACTCTAATCTTGTCTATAATCAAAGTCGAGGATTGAAGGCTTATCTCTGATGGGTAACAAGGTATGACACAGGAAGAGATTCACTACCGCAGCTGAGATAAAATTGCTATGTTTCAGACCTATCTCATATTTGTTGAAATTCACTCCTATAGAAGTGGATTTTGTGATATTTATGGTTTGGAATCTTCAACTTAGGAGAGTGGTTATGGATAGAAAGGTGGAAGAACGGACAAATTTAGTCTATGCCTCAAATGGTGAATATGAAAGATCATGATAGTGTTACATGGATCCCTGGCCTAGCTAGTATTTCTATTTATTCAATAAAATTAGCTAGCCAAGCCCTACATTCTAGTTCCTCCATTTTAGATCAGATGCTTAGTGTCATAGTCATACTTTTTTCAACCATGAGGCACCATGATCTTAGCTCAATCATGGCAAGCCTTACGGGGAACTCTAGCCCAATACACTTTTCGCGCACTTTGTGGCTTTGTCGGACCTTAGGCAAGGTTCTTTCTTCCTCAACTAAACTTTGCTATTTTTTGCATCACGATGACGTCTTGAACATTCACCGAAACTACCTACACACATGAGCATCTTTTCGCTCATCGTTAGCTTAGTCTTGTAGAGACTAAGATTGGAGAGAATCCCATGTTCTATATTCTCATTATTAAAGTCTATATATATAGATAAATATACAAGGTTGACCTAATCCTATAAGGAGAAGGTAAATGACAAATTAATATTAATACAAGAATATAAAATATACTAATCTATATACTCTAACA